CATAATAATCATATACATTGTATATTGACAAAATAAAAATTAAAAAAAAAAAAAGAAAATAGGCTCTACAATCAACTCCCCTTGTGGTCTTGAGACCTTAAAAATCTGGTTCCATCTTTCCTACCAACCTTACACTCAGCTAATCATGAGGGTCTTCTTCACTCTAGTCAGAACAACACCCCCATAGCAAGAGGGAATATTGTACAGCGGTTAAGAACATGGACTCTGGAGCCACACTGCGTGGCTTCAAATGCCACTACTCACTAACTAGTGACTTGGCCTCTCTATGGCTCAGGTTCCTTGTCTATGGAATGGTGAGGATAATAACATTGCCTACACCATACGCCTTTTGTAAGAATTGTATGAGATAATACACGTAAAGCACTCAACACAATACCTAATACTTAGTAAGTGACAACGATGACAGTGATGACAATGATGAGCCTTCACCTAAAACTACAGTATCGGGCCGGCCCGGTGGCGCACTGCTACAGTGCGCCACTTGGGAAGCGCGGTAGCGCTCCCGCTGAGGGTTCGGATCCCACATACAGGCCGGCCGCTCACTGGCTGAGAGAGGCGCGGGAGCAACGCCGAGGGTTGCGATCCCGTGGCCGGTCCCAGTCCGGTACGGGCGCGACACTGAGGGTTGCGATCCGTTGCCGGTCACGAAAAAAGACAAAAAAGACAAAAAAAAGGAAAATTAAAAATAAAAATAAGGGCGCGACACTGAGGGTTGCGATCCGTTGCCGGTCACAAAAAAAGACAAAAAAAAGGAAAATAAAAAATAAAAAATAAATAAATAAATAAATAAAACTACAGTATCCTTCTAAACTACAAATCCAGCCATATCACATATCTGTTCAAAAACCTTTAATTAATGTCCACTGCCTGTAAGATAAAGTCCAAAATCCTCAGTGTAGAATATTAAGCACAGTACATGTTCTTTACACACTGGCACTAATCCACCTTCCCAACTTCATTTCCCATCATTCCCCTCCAAAATCTCCCTGCAATCAGAGCCAGAATCTATGCTTCAACCAATCAACACTTTTTACCATCTCATGAGCACACCACGGGCGTTTTGTTTCTCTAATTATTTCACTTGCTGAAATTCCCTTCCTATTCTTTTCTACTTGCTAGGCTCCTGTTCACCCTTCAAGACCGAAACAAATGTCCCGTTTTTGTGAAGTGCTCCTTAAATTTTCCAGGTATAGTCAATGGCTCCTACCTCTAAACTTCCACATTGTAACCTAGAAAACTTGAATATAGAATCCTGTGTTGTCATTTGCCAGTTTATTTCTCTATCTCCTCTTCCCTATGACCCCCTCCTCCAGGGCAGCAACCAATTTGCTTCTTTCTGCATAATACCTGACACACAACAGGTGTTCATTTGACAAAAGTGTTTGATTAAACTAAGAGATATGTAAATTCTAGCATGAGTGACCCAAAACCTCAAAATTATTTCAGTAAAAAGATGGCTAACTTAAAAGCAGTTTTATTCTAAGCATTTTTTTTTCTGATCTTGTTAATTTGCATCTCTTTTGGCTTCTGGCTTCCGTATGTGTGCAAGTTTCTACCTGTCTTTAGAGCTTGAACCATTTTATCTGAAGATGGGTCAAGAAAAAAAAATATATATATATATAATATATATATACACACACACACATATGTGTTTTTAAGCTTTTCAAAGTAAACTATTTCTAAATGTTTTACCAATTTAATATTCTTACTACTCTGAAGCAATGCTAAAACATCATAGAAATTTTACACTTTTCTGTATTCTTAAAAATTATTATTGGGGATTTAGTGGTTTAGATGTCATTTGAAAATGTCTCCTTTTTCCTGGACAACAGAGCCTGTGAAATATTGGTAAACTCTCCCAAGTATGCTCCATGGAACATTGATCTATGAAAACCAACAAAAAAAAAGGAGTCCACGATCAAGTAAATTTGGGGGAAAGTACACGTTGTGTCTGTTTATTGAAAAGTCGCAGAGCACTTTAGCATGTTAAAGGCTCTGAGAAGCTCACCAATAAAGAATTCAGTATTTCCCAAACTTATTGATTGGAGCACCCTTTCATGTCCCTTAGGACAGGCGTTCGTGAAACTCACTTTGGGAAATACTGCAACGTTTAGCCTCTCAAAGGCCCAATACTAGTCTTTGGGTCATAAATAATCTTAATTCATCATATGGCTGGATGGAGTTTGTTTTTGTTTTCATTTTGGTGGCTTGCCAGTGCGTGGATCCAAACCCATCCCGTGACCTTGGTGTTACAAGGCTGCTCTCTAACCAGCTGAGGTAAGCAACCAGCCCCTGGAGGGAGTTTTAAAGGGCATTGGCACCATTACCCACACAGGTCTTGACTCTCATCTGCATGTCCCTGCCAAGTTATTGTTCAAAGCATTTATGAAAGGTATGGAAAGCAAATTATTTGTTGCAGCTATTTTAGAAAGTGCTTCTTTACACAGAATCAAAATCTGTTTCTTTACAGATTCCATCCATTCATCTTAATTCAACTTCTTGGAGCCACAAAGAGTAAGTCTAAACATT